ATAATTTGGCGCCAAATTATTTAATATCTTATACATCATAGTTAATTTGTGTATGTCTCGCATTTCAGCAAGAGTTTTCCAGTTCAATGTTTTCCTTATTTCATTGGATCTCATATCATAACCTTGGGAATAATAACTCTAGCGCCACGATTTGTAACTTTTGTAGAATGCCAGCACCAGCAGCAAGAAGGCTGTCCCAAACAACATCGCAATAATCAAATAATGGTTGTATTAATGAGTTATAGGTTGTTAACAATGTCGATAATGGGACAAACTCCTTTTTCCGCCGTTAACCTGAAATTCCACGTGTTCATGCCATGTTACTCTTTCATCAATATGTACCCTAATGACGTGGCTGCTTTGACCCTTTTTATAGCTTTGTTTTCAAGAACTAGTAGTGGCACATCCCTTAACTTGTCGAGATTTTGATCTGAACCAATGAACATGTACTCAGTTTTGGTCACGTTAAGGCTGAGTTTGTTTGCTTTCAGCCAGTCACTTATATTATTTAAGTCATCATTAGCATGTGTTACTATTTCTCGAATAGATGTTCCTGTCGTTGTTATGTTTGTATCGTCAGCGTACATTCGAGCTGTAGAATGTTTTAAACACTGAGGAAGATCGTTTATATATATGAGAAACAATAACGGTCCAAGAATTGACCCCTGAGGCACACCACAATTAATGGTACGTTCGCCAGATAGAACGTCATTCACATAACATTTTTGTTTACGATCTTGTAAATAGGATTGAAACCAGGATAAACTATTTGCATCAACCCCGTAAATGTGGAGTTTCTCAAGTAATATCTCGTGACTTATTGTATCAAATGCCTTCGCTAGATCAATATAAACAACCGCATTAAGCTTTCCCTGGTCCATGTTTGTAAGCCATTCAATAGTGGCATCTATTAGAGCAGTCATAGTAGAATGGCACTTCCTAAAGCCTGATTGATTCTTGTGTAACAGATTGTTTTCATTGAAATAGGTGTAAAGCTGATCAAAAACAATACGCTCGAAAACCTTAGAAATTGCACTTAAAACTGAAATTGGTCTGTAATTCCCTACATTATCTTTTGCATCGCCTTTGTATATAGGGGATATTTTTGCCAATTTCCAGTCATCAGGGAATATTGCTGTTTGAATGGATAAATTAAAAATATCACACAATGATTTCGAAACTATAGGTGCAGAGAGTTTAAGTAATTTACTCGGAATTTGATCTGTAGCTTTCTTATCAGATATTGAGGAAATTAATTTAATAACTTCTTCCGAAGTAGTTGGGCGTAATATAAACATCGTTCCAGTGGCAGCTGGTTGCACATAATGATGAAAAGCTTTGCCATTGGTAGATGGTGATACGTTGTTTGTTAATTTGGACCCTATTTCAGCAAATATTGGTTTAAACATTCAGCTATTTCAGTATTGTTTGTGACTACTTTTTTGTTTATTAAAAGAGAAGAAATATTTTGAGATTTCGAGCTTCGGGACATTAGCTCATTTATTGTATTGATTTCCAAATTTCTTTGGTATTTCCTTTGTTGACTGCAATCAACCGGTGATAGTAATCTCTTTTTGCTTCTTTCAGCATATTATTACACTTATTTCGGGCAAGTTTAAATTGAAGCCAATTATCTGTATCATTAGAAATCACCGCTTTTCTTTTTAGTTTGTCACGATTTATCAAAAGTGTTTTTATTTCATGAGTCATCCAAGGATTGTTTTTATTTCGTACTCGCTTGCTTTTGAATGGCGCATGTTTATCTACTACAGTCATGAATATATTTTTCCATAAATCCCACCGGTCGTTAACATTTAAAAGACAATCTAAATTTGACCAGGAAGATTACTTAGGTCATTTATAAAGCTATCAACATTAAAATTTTTCATATTTCTTATATTGACCACTTTATGCATACGTTTGTTCATCATAGGCTTTATAGCTACTTTCCGTATGGCATAAACAAGATCATGGTCACTTATTCCTAAGCGTATAACACCAGATGCAGCCACTTTACTAGGACAATTTGTGTAAACAACATCAATTAATGTTCTGGTGCTTGCACTGCATCTTGTAGGTTCGTCAATAAGTTGCCGAAGCTGACAGACAGACAGACAGACAGACAGACAGACAGACAGACAGACAGACAGACAGACAGACAGACAGACAGACAGACAGACAGACAGACAGACAGACAGACAGACAGACAGACAGACAGACAGACAGGCAGACAGACAGACAGACAGACAGACAGACAGACAGACAGACAGACAGACAGACAGACAGACAGACAGACAGACAGACAGACAGACAGACAGACAGACAGACAGACAGACAGACAGACAGACAGACAGACAGACAGACAGATAGATAGATAGATAGATAGATAGATAGATAAATAGATACATAGATACATAGATAGATAGATAGATAGATAGATAGTTTATTACAAATATGTGGCAGCCCGAGAGCTGAATTACATATTTACAAATTTGGAAAACTAGTTTACAAATATTTTTCTTAGATTCAAAATTTAAAAACTATTATTAAAATATAGTTAATACTAAGTATATTTACAAAGGTAAATAAAGAATAATTAATTAACTATAGTTATTTTTAATACAATTTTACATTATAAAAATGTTCCTGCAACGATTAGTTTTCCATTCTGGAATTATAAAATGTCTGTTTTCTCGTAAGTCATACGGAACGTTATTTGAAGGTGGAAGTAATTTAAAAAGTTTGTTTTCACTATCATTAACAATGGAATAAAATACTTTATCGCACACTAGTTCACTATAATCAATTATGGTAGGAATGTTCGCTTCTTGCAAGGCCTGACTGTAAGCAATGTTTGGACTAATAATCGAAAAAGCCCTTTTCTGCGCGTTCTAATTCAAGTTTCAGGTACTTTGGCAACCCATCAAAAAACATAGGAATGGCATAAATTAGGACAGATCTAATACACGTTATATAGAAGAGAACTAAATCTTTCGGTGGTAATTTTGCTCTTTTCAATTGGATAAGGAAATATAATCGTTTCGAAGCCTTTTTCATTGTGTCATTGATATGATCATTCCGCAAAAGGTTAGTTGTTAGCTTTACGCCGAGCAACTTCGCACTTCTTACAACACTCCCATCGATAACAATCGGATGAAAATCTGGTTGATCTTTCGCAAAGGAAATTCATAGTTCCTTGCACTTGCCACTATTTAATTTTACTCTATTTACCGTGGACCAATGAGTTACTCTGTCAACTATAAGTTGGGCGTTGCTCTTATTTCCTTTCTTTACAACTTCGGAGGTTGTTGTATCGTCAACATATTTCCATATGTCAGCATTCTGGATATCGCAAAGATTTAAATCGTTGATTAAGACAAGAAATAACCAAGGTCCTAGCTTTGTTCCCTGGGGGACTCCAGAGGGCACAGAACCCCATTCTGAGAAACATCCGTTGGCGAGTTTAATTCCCTGTAAACGGTCTGATAAAAAATCGATGATCCAAATTTATTACGCTTCCAGGCAAATCGAATTTACAAAGTTTATCTCGTAAGATACTATGATCAATAAGATCGAATGCCTTACGATAGTCGAGTAATATAGTTCTCACTGTAGCACCATTGCCGTCAGTTCCTATCATTCATTTATGGATCATGTGTATCAAGGCA